GTATAGAAGAAATGATCAGGAGGATGGTCAGAGGTTCCAAAATATCACAGATAAAAAAGTGTCCTCACTTCGCTCTACTTAGCAAAACTTTTTGAGAAAAATGGCTCGTTTTCTTCTCTGATTTCTTTTCACTAAAAGCGTATTTCTTATCTTCCAGACATGGACTGTCACGAGCGTGTTGTAAAACACGTGAAACTGCTTCCATTGAGACACTAACTTTTGAAGAAGTTTTGATTTCCGTACCCGTCTGGATAAAGTCGTATTATTTTCTCACGATACGGCGCTTATCTCGGTCGGATAGTAATCAGGGTTCTTCCCAGAATCATATCCTGTAGCATCCTTGAGAAATTTGTTCGTTATGAAGTCACCCCGACAAATTCCAGCGTGAGCTGACACTTCAACAATTCCTGCGTCTCTTTTGCTAGGGTTTTCCTTTTACGGAAGTTCGACAGCGGTTTTGCCTTTGCTATAAGCTAAGGGACTTGAGTGGGTAATAATTTCAAAATTTGATTGGGTAAAAGCAAAATGCAGCAGAGAAACATGTGGTGGAACTATGATTTTGCGTCATAGGCAAGCGGGTATTTTCGAAAAAATGAGGATAAAAAATTTTTGCTTTCTCAAACTGGATTTCCGTGATAATATTCAGATTCGCATTTGCATGTGTCACAATTTGTCTGTAGAGCCCTTTTCAAAAACATCTCCAAATTTAGTTTTTGGGAAATTTGTAGGTGGAACTAAGATTATGCGTCGCAGTGTATTTGTAGACAAGGTCGGTAATTTTCGGTTAAAAGAATTTTGACTAGTACAAGATCGGTGAACAGAAGGTAGCGATGGTGCGAGCCATCTTCGAATGCATGGACAACAATGTTCCAAGATTCTGTTTGATTTTGCGGACCATGACTGCTATGTGAGCTTTCCAAATAGTTGTAAGCGGTCATATTTCGCCATTAGTAGAGCGCCAGTTTGATCATTCAGCTAATCTATTCACATCAACATTCTTGAACTTCAGGTGTAGGAGAAAATACCTTATCATAAAGTCATTCATTTTTGAAACAGGAGCCATACGGCACCAGTTTGATGCCTCAAGTTTCCCTGGTGAGCAACAGCATCTCTGCCTTAGAGCCCCTCTACCAAGAAAAAAGCTCACAAGTAACTTAGTCATTACTCCATTTTTTTATAAACTTTATAGCTACCAACTGAAAAGTACCTCAAGGGGAGAAGGCGTAAAAGTTGGGGTTTCTGTATCAAACTAGGCTAATCATCCTTCCTATTAACCTAAAATCTGCCATGCGCTCGGCAGGGAGAGAAGATTTGGAGCATTCCAAAACTGCAGCCAAGATCACGTTGTGATATCATACATTGTATGGATCATATGCGAGGCAGAACATACCGCTTGAGCCGCCGCGGCAGCTTTAGCTGCTTCTTCCTGGAACGGCGTACTCCAAGCCATCAGACGAGAAAGCCATAAGTTAAGAAAAACAAATCGCATCTCAGCCAATCGAACCTAAAGAGGCTAATTACGCTTCAAGAAAGCAATAAAATCATTCGAAATTGCCTCACTTTCACTTTCATATCAATATCGTTCGGATGCATAGCCTTTTTCTGCTCCTCATTTCGTTGGTATTGGGTCATTTCGAATCTCAACATTTCCTTGTTTCCTGTCACCGAGAGCAGTTTGCTGAACGCACGATTCTTCATTGACGTTAACACCGTAATTCTCACATAACCAAAACCTTTGATATTATTTTAAGTTCTGTCAGAGCTCGTAGGGTCAGGACTAAAGACTGCTACGTTAATGCAGCTCTACTCTGGTAGAAGGAAGCACCGGTGCACCGAATAAGCCCGCCCAATCCCTTAATGCGACGTTTGCCCTGGTTTTTCAGTGTTCTAGCAGAAGCATGGAGGTATGCCTGCATCATTATCCAAGGCAAGTAGTTTAATCTGTAGTATTCGCGTTCTCAGAGATTACAAACTGCCCAGCTGATGTTGGGATCGCCAGGCCTACATGGATGGAATAAGATCCCAGCAGGAAAGGAAAGCGAGTGGACCAAAGAAACTGAAGCTGCCCAAAAAAGCGAATACAGTTGCCTTACCGATAAAGTGCTCCTTCCGTCATATCTTCCATTTTAACAGTTTCCAGTGTGGCAAAGACATCCATCGCTTTCACTGTCATCTTCACTTTACTTTGAATCTGAGAAAAATAGATTCGAGCAAAAAGAACCAGGATACAACCCCCTAGGTAGTCAAAGGTAAACGAAGCATGATCTGGGAGAATATGAGCATTACCGTGTCGCAAACGCAGGCCGTAGATGTGTTTTTGTCTAGGAGGAAACATTAAACAGCTTACATTTTCAATGGCAACCAATGTGTCAACACCGGATTTCTGGGTTCCGATCATCACCGCCAAACTTCCGACAGATGCTACCAAACGCATTTTAACAGTGCGATCCTCCTCATCCGTGGAAACACTACGTGCCCGCCTAACCTTCCTCATGCTTGCCGCAGACTTCTGACGTTGAAGAGCTGCGATTGACTCCATGCTGAAGCATTCATCATGCTGCATTGAGTGTTGAGGTCAAATAGGGTAAAAAGGTCAATACCTTTGACTAACTTGTCGACTGAGCTTCCGTCCCGCTTCGACAGCCTCCTCAACTTGTCCCTCTTTTCCTTTTTGCAGAGCATTGATCTCTCTTTGCATCTTTTCACCGAACAATTTCAATTCCAGCAAGCCTTCCTTGAACGAAATCGAGATCAGAAAAGCTGTACAATAAAATTTAACCTGTCATCAAGTACCTGATGGAGGGCAATATTCAACTTCCTAAATTTGAAGTCGATAGTCTGTTCTGTTGAGTGGTACTCAGTTGCAAAGAAAGGTGATTCGGGATTGGCCTGGAGATCGAAGAAATGCGTAACGCAAATTTGGATGGTGTGAAACGATCAAGTATTGTAAATCATACCTGGACAAACTTCAAAGTCATTAGGGATCCTTCCTGCTCGTTGTTATCAATAAGATACAAGTTTTGTCTCATTGGATCCAGAGATTTGAACATAGGCATTGATATGCGAATAGCACCCAACTATAAATACGTTAGTAACTTAGCTCGCTGTTAGCAGTTAAAATAATTCTCCAGTAGTAAAAGAGCACACTTTTATGGAGAAAATACATCATTCAAATTTTTATACTTTTTTGCTTCATCAATTACCGTTATCTTAGCAGTTCGAGATGCGATATTCGACAAGGATGTTGGGTAATGAATAAAATAACCGCTAGGCAGGAATCGAACCCGCATCTCGGAATCGAAACTAACTAGGGAAACCTTCAGGTTGCAACGGTCATTCAAGACGTAATCCGAATTCCTATGCGCGCCTTCAAATGACTGATCTCAATTATGCCTTGTAAACAACTCTCTGGACGAAGTTATGGAACTGCAAAGCGCACCGATAGTGGTGCGGGCTAAAAGACAAGTGCAAGTATAGGATCGGTCTTTGCACGGGCTTTACTCCTACTTTTCCTGTTTTTGCGCGCAATTTGAAGAAAAACAAAACAAATGCCGCTTGCCCAATGCGACTCGCAAATGAGTCTGCGATAAACTCTGGGCACCATTTGCGTATGACTATGGACAGCCATGGGCAAATGGCGCCAGGATCTCTTCGAAAACTCATAATAAGAGTAAGTACACGCTGCGCTCTTCCGCTTCAGAACTCCGTTTAAAAAAACGCCTAACAGGTTCGGGGGGCAGAGAGATTAGCGTTTCACGACGCATATAGGAGAACACCTCTCATCTTGGATGACCATAGTGACCTTAGAGCATTTCCTTGTAAATCATGTAAATGTAAATGTTGGTCCAGTTGGCAGCACTACTACCTAAAACTAGGAGTGCTGGCTTGATTCCAGCCTGCAAGAAATTTTTTGCCCACAACTCGTCATCCTTGTGGTGAAATTAATCAACATTTCAAGTGTATTTTGGCCATGCAGCAAAATACACAATCCACAGGTTCACGACTTCTGTAGAGCTAAACCAGTGGATTCGGTTCTTATCCCCCTTCTTCCCTCACTACCTAATCCCTCCGACAACTCACTGCATACAAAAAGTGGAGTTGTGTACCAATGGAAAAAAGTCTGAACGCAAACTCGATCTGCTTTCCGAAGCTTTTTGACTAAGAAAAGTTGAGTCCAGGTGCGAGCAAGAAGCAAAATCGCGTAATCCTATTCTTGGAATATATCATCTCTCCATATATCAAAATGAGGATTCTCTCGAGAAAAAAAAACATAAATAACATA